GAGAAATCACTGCTCTCCTCTAGGATTTTTGTCGTTTCAGGTCTCATATTTAGGTCCTTAATCCATTTTGAGTTTATTTTTGTCTATGGCATAAGAAAGTGGTCCAGTTTCATTCTTTTGCATGTGACTATCTGGTTTTCCCAACACTATTTGTTGAAGAGGCTGTCTTTTTCCCATGACATAGTCTTTCCTCCTTTGTTAAATACCAATTGACTGTATAATTTTGGGTTTATTTCTGGGATTTCTATTCTGTTGTATTGATCTATATGTTTATTTTTGTGCCAGGATCATTCTGATTTGATCACTACAGCTTTGCGGTATAAATTGAGGTCTGGAATTGTGCCGCCTCCAGTTTTGTTTTTCTCTTTCAAGATTGCTTTGGCTATTTGAGGTCTTTTGCGGTCCCATACAAATTTTAGGATTGTTCATTCTAGTCCATTGAAAAATGCTGTTGGCGTTTTGATAGGGATTGAATGGAATGTGTAGATTGCTTTGGGTAGTATAGACATTTTAAGGATATTTGTTCTTCCAATCCATGAACATGGAACATCTTTCCATTTCTTTGTGTCGTCTTCAATTTCTTTCATTATTGTTTTGCAGTTTTCAGAATACAGGTCTTTCACTTCTTTGGTTAAGCTTATTCCTGGGTGTTTTATTATTTTTGGTATAATTGTAAGTGGGATTGTTTTCTTAAGTTCTCTTTCTGCTGCTTTGTTTTTAGCTCATAGAAATGCAACAAGATTTCTGAACGTTGATTTTTGTGTCCTGCAACTTTACTGAATTCAGTGATCTGTTCTAGTAGTTTTTTGGGAGAATCCTTAGGGTTTCCTATGTATAGTATCATGTCATCTGCAAATATAGTTCACTCATTTTGATTGCCCTTTGGCAGTGGTTCTCAAATTTGAGCATGCATCACAATAACCTTGAAAATTTGTTAAAACCCATATTGTTGGGCCTACTCTAGAGTTTCTGATTTGTTTGGTCCAAGGTAGGACCTGATAATTTGTGTTTCTAACAGCTTCCCAAGTGATGCTGGTATTATTGGTCCTGGGGCCACACTTGGAGACCCACTGCACTCTCTATTTTTCCACGCTGCTGTGGATGGATCTTTGGGTTACTTACAATTCATAGCTGTTGTGCACAATGAACACTGCCACAACCTGCTCAAGAACAATGGCCATGATCTGTTAGTCCCATCTACTCCTGAAAACACAGATCTTGGGTATTTTTGAGAAATTTCGCTAGGATCTCCCAAAACTTTTTGGTGCCTAAAAATCTCTACACGTATCTACCACACCGAGACATAAACCATACTGTCTAACTATAATATACCGGTAAAATTAGGGGCATCTGGGTGGCTCAGTCGGTTACATGTCTGACTCTTGGTTTTGGCTGAGGTCATGATCTCATCGTTCATGGGATCGAGCCCCGCATTGGGAACTGCACTGACAGTTGTGAAGCCTGCGTGGGATTCTCTCTCTCTCTTTCTCTCTCTCTTCCCCCCTCTCCTGCTTGCTCTCTCTCTCTCGAAATAAATAAATGAACTTAAAAAGTTAAAAAAAATAAAATAAGGGTTGGATTAGAGCCCACCCACACGACCTCATTTTACTTTAATAAACTTTTTAAATATCCCACCTCCAAATACAGCCATATTCTAAGGTCCTGGGGGGTTAGGACTTGAACACACATATTGGGGTGGACACAATTCAGCCCATAGCAACGTTTAATCACAGGTGCTGCCCCAGATCCAATGCTAGGTGTTCCTTGACACAGGACATGTGCTGTTTATCCCGAAAATCTAAGGAGTTCTGAGTTCTGGAGCACCTGTCTGGCCCCAGGCTCTGTGGAAGGATCTCTATTAGAAACAGATCCTGAGAGTGTCAGGGTGTGAGGTGGGTCATCTCTGACTGCTCCTTCCAGGGTCCAGATGAGGTGGCCTGTTAGAAGTGACCTGGTCAGGTATGTGCTGAGAGCCTCCCACACTCCTGAAATCTCCCATGCCCCGGGTGCCCCTGCACCCTGCAGCCCTGCCGGGAGCCCTCTACCTGCAGCCCTGCCGGGAGTTTGTGGTCTTCTCTTTGGTGTGACTCCAGAATCCTTGGCTTGGGCAACCCACTTCTGTGCCCTACTTCTAGCCGGGGCAGGTGAGGGTCAGAGGCGCCCCTTGGACTCAGCCAGACTCACAAGTGCTCCTTGCCATCCTCTCCCCCACCCTTCACGGTCCTGGAACTGGTGTCAGCAACAATTCAGGTGCCTCATTTCCCAGAGGACAGTGTCCAGCGGCCTCTCTTCTCGGCCACACTTCAACTTCAAGACAAGCGACTCCTCGAGAAGCCTACAGTGGATACAGTGGGACACAAGACCCTGTACCTGGGCCATTTCAGACACAGCCCACAGAGGGTCCCCCAGGTGCCCCGAAGTGACAGTGGAAAGACACATAGAGCACATTCTGCCGTCTGCTCTCAGCACCCCAGCCTGTCGGGGCTCAGGCCTCGGGGGTGTCTGAGCTTCCCACAGTCCCTGCCCTGGCTTGGGGGTGACCTTCCTGCAGCCTTCCCGAATGGAAACCAGGCCCCCATGCAACCCATGGGCTCCGGAGGCCCCTGCCCTCGTATGCTGCCTCCACACCCCATCATTAGGAACACAGTAGGCCGCGCTTAACACAGTTAAGAGAGGGGGTGGGGCCTGCAGGGCAGGTGCCTTAGGTGTCATGGTGGGTGTTTCCCTCTGCCTTTAGTGGGGCTTCCTGACTGACTTGTGCACGAGAATGCAGGGGTGTGCTTGTGTGAGGACACCCCCCAGGCGGGAGGGTAGGCGGGGCCAGCTCTAGTGGCCGAGGGAACGTCCCTGGAGCCACAGACTCTGCCAAGGCCTCACTGCTCTTGAAAGTGGATGAAGAATGTCCGAATTTCCTCTGGGTGGATGGTGACCTTGGTGCCTTGCAGGGCTGGCACCTTGCAGAGCTGGAGCCACCGGGGGAAGCAGGGGTGGTCTGTCCTTTGAGCCCCCTGCTTCCCTAGGATGCTTCCATCCAGCATTCCTCCACAACGCCCCACCTGACTCACTCTGTTGTGACCCCATGATGCAGGCCCTTGGCTGCCCCCTCCTGCCAGAACTTACTCTACCATGGGCCCCTTGCATTTCAGCCCTCCCTTGAGGGTAATTTATAGGTGGTCCTGGCCATGCATGGCCTCATTCCCAATGGTCTGCAGCACTCAGTGCCTAGAGCTTTCTCACAGAGGCCATCTGCTGGGCCTGCTCTTTTTCTTACTGGGTTCCACTAAACTTGACCTTTAGAGGGAATCCTCTTCACCCATCCACCCACACATCCATCCATCCATCCATCCATCCATCCATCCATATATCCACCCATCTGTCCATCCATCCATCCATCCATCCACCAACCAACCATCCCTCATCCATCCATCATCCATCTATCCATCCATTATCCATCCATCCATCCATCCATCTATCCATCCATCCATTATCCATCTATCCATCTATCCATCTATACATCCATCATCCATCCATCCATCATCATCCATCCATGAACCCATCCACCTATCTACCCATCCACCCATCCATCCTTCCACCCATCCACCCATCCATCCATCCACCTACCCACCCATCAATCTATACTCCATCCATCCATCCATCCTCCATCCATCATCCATCCACCCATCCACCCATTCATGCATCCATCATCCATCCATCCATCTACCCACCCATCATTCTATACACCATTCATCTATCCATCTATCATCCATTCATCCATCCATCAACCCCTCTTCCTTTCATCCATTCACACAATTACCATTCCATAAACCAATACATCCATTAATCCATCATGCATCCATTAATCATCATCCATCTACCCAATCATTCATCAAACATCCATTCATCCATCATCTCTCATTATTACCAATCCATCCATCCATCTATTCATCACCCATCCACCATCCATCCAACCATCCACAAACCATCACCCATCCCTCATGCATCCATCCACCCATCCATCTATCCATCCATCCATGCATCCATCATCCATCATCCATCAACCATCCCTCCTTTCTTCTTCCTTCCTTCCTTGCTTCCTTCTTTCCTTCTTCCTTTATTCTTTCCATCCATCCATCCATCTATCCATCCTTTATCCATTATCCATCATCCATTTACCAATCCATCCACCTATCGATCTATCCATAGATCAACACACATCCACCCATCCATCCATTTACCCATTCACCCATCTATCCACCAATCCATTCACCCGTTCATCCATCCATCCATCCATCCACCCATCGATCCACCCATCCACCCATCCATACATTCACCTATTCATCCATTCATCCATTCATCATCCATCCATCCATTCGCCCATCTACACATCCATCCATGCATCCATCCACCCATCCATGCATCCATCTGTCCACCTATCCACCTATCCATCCATTATTTATCTACCCAACCTCCATCCATCCATCCATCCATCCATCATCCATCTTTCCATCCCCAAATGACTGAGTGTCCAGCTATGTAGCTGATGCTATGCTGTGTGCAGTGGACAGAGGAGCTACATGGGACAAAGGAAAGAGTGGGACCAGGAGAGCAGAGGAGTCACCTGACTGAGCCATGGACTTGGTAAAAGCTCAAGTAGGAGCTGGCCAGAGTGAAGGGGACAAAGGAGATCCAGGCACAGGAAACAAGATGGGAAAGACTGAGAAGCATGAAGCTGTCTGCCTGTGATTCCTAGGAGCTGATGATGCTGTGTGCGGTGTGACCGCAGCATGGCAGGTGTCAGAACCCCCCGGGATATGCTTGCCAGTTCAGGCCTCACTGAGGACAGAGGCAAGGGGTTGTCTGCAGATGCAGTCCCCCCCACATTGACCTGTGTGGGTCCCTGGCAGGTGGAAATGGACCCAAAGCCTTTCTTAACCTACTGTGGTAGATTCAGGATGGTACAGATTCAGACACAGAAAGTAGTCTGTTCAGGGTCACACAGGTCATAAGGGGCAGAGCTGGGATCTGAACCAGGGCTGCCCAGCTCCTGAGCCAGGTTGGAGCAGCTGGGGTTCCCGAGCATGGCCCGAACCGGGGTGTCCCCAACCTCTGTGGTGGGAATGCTCCTGTGTCCTCCAGCTCCAGCGGTACAGGGTGCTCACGTCCGAGGTCCCCATGAGTGAGTGCTCCTCCACGGCCACCATGGACCCCAGCACCCCCCCCAAGCATGACCTGAAGGGACAGGATCACTGGGAGGGTGAGTTACCCCGAGGCCCCAGAGCTGAGCAGAGGCAAAGCAGGGGCAGGGCCACAACACAGCTCCTCATTAATTCTCACAGCAAAGTCCGGACAGGACTGCGGCCCCATTTTACAGATGAGGACACTGAGGCCGGGACAAACATGCTTCCCCAAGTGCTGTGTTGGATGAGCATCCCCAGGAGGTGGAGGAGGCTTTGAGTGCCTCCAACATCCAGTCCCCCTCTCCCCGTATTTGCTCAGGGGGGCCCAGGAAGGAGGCCAGGCATAGCTGACCATCCCTGTGCCAAATAGGCATGGACCCAGCCTCCTGTGGGGGGCAGGGGGGAGGCCAGTGGCTGATTCTGGCCACTGAAAAGGAAGGGACCGTCTGCTGCCCGGAGGTGGAGACGGTTTGGGGGAAGCTTCCCTGCCCTGACAGGAGAAAGCACTGGGGGGCAAGGCCCTTTTTGCTGCTGCCCGCCCCCCTTCTGCCTTCACATCTGCTGGCGGGGACTGTGCCAGCTTGTGACCAGGGGGGACCAGCAGAAGAAAAACAGCCAGCATGCTGACAAAGGCCGGCTGCAGGACAAAGTGACCCAGGAAGGGACCAGAGAAAAGACAAACGCCTAGAAGGCTAGGCAGGAGGGAAGGGGTGCCCCTCACCCCCGCCAGCGCCCCCTCCAGGCTTTAGTAAGAACACCCCCAACAATCTCTCTGCCAAGGTCTTTGCCAGAGGGGGTTTCACACGAGGCACGGCCTCCCTGCTGGAGCCTCAGCCCGCAGCCAGGGAGGACTCTCACAGGGGTCTGAGGGCGGGCCGGGGGTGGGTCGGTTACCTTCAGATTCACCGTCACAGGCTGAGACAGGACCGGGTCCTCCCCGACCTCACACAGGTGCTGGAGCCACAGAGGACGCGGCGGAGATCTGCCTCGGCCTTTCCTCCGTGGCCTTGAGGGACAGAAGGAGGGCGGCAGTGAGGACCCCTCTGAGCCCCAATCCTCCAGTCTGGACCCGGCACTTTGCACCTGCTCTCCACTTCTCACCCTCACCCGCCCTGCAAGGCAGCTGACACAGCCTCCACTTGATGGCCAAGGAAACCAAGGCTCAGAGAGGTGCAGTCACTTGACCAAAGCCACACAGCAGGTGGGCACCAGAGGGAAGATTCTAGGTCCGGCAGCCTCCAAGGCCTCCTGCCGCACCCACAGGGGCGATGCCAAGGATGCCTGCAAGTCTCCCCTCTGGTCTGATGTGTGGTCATCCCTGGGCCTGTCCCCAAGAGTCCCAGTGCTCTGCCGGACCCCTCCCCTGCCCTGGGTGCTGTGGTGTGGCCCGGAAGCCCCGAGGCCGATGCACAGGGAGCAGAAGGGATGTGTCCCTTGCACAGAAGCTTGTCTTGCCTCCGTGAAGGAGGAAGCACCTGCTGGACTATGACCTCCCTCTGTCAGGGGCCCTGGTGGCCACAGTGACAAGGGCCTTCTGCTGAGCCCACCAGCCATGTGTCCTGGGGGAGAAATGAACATGGCTGTGTCAGGACAGGGGGGGTTGGGCCTTCTTGCAACTGCAGCACAAGAGGCTTGTAAACTCTCTTCTACGTGTCCCAGGGCGGTGGTTATGGATTTGAGTCCTGAGTCAGGCAAGTCCCTGTCTCCTGATGACAGTGGGGGTTACGATGGTGGCGATGACAAGACACCTGGTTCATGAGGTGGCCGTGAGCTTGGGGAAAGCGGGAGGATCTCACTCCATCCCTGAGGCTCTGTTCCCTCTGCCCCTCACTCGCTGCTCTCCAGGGAGGAGGGACCTCCATTCAGTGGGCCTGGGGCACCCCTAGTCCAGCCCCTTCTCCTTTGGGAGCCAGCCGTCCACAGGAGACCCGTTGACTCTCGGGGGCTCCACACACAAGTGGGAAGGGGACGCTCTGCCTGTGTGGGGGAGGCTGCCTGCCCAGCATCTTCTGTGACCGGTGGGGGTTCTCGATAATGGGGTTCAGTGTTAGGAAGCCACTTGGCTGCAGAAATGAGCTGTGGTCCCCGAGATCCACTTGATCAGAGATGAAGGTGTTATCTGGCCTGTAGTCACTTCTTTTTCCTCCTTAATCTGTGGACTCCTGAGGTCTCTTTGGTGCGGCCAGGACCCGGGTGGGGCTCCGGAGACAAGAGGGTGGCTGAGGGGCAGTCAGCCCTGCCTTCGAGCTCTGACAGGGGAAAGGGGAGGAGAGGAGAGGGTCCAGCTAGACTTTGACAGTAGGATGAGTTGGTTCATGGCAGGGGTCACCTCCCCCAGGAAGCCCTCCATGATGCCCGCTGGGGATTAACATGAACATCAGCATCATTGTCTGGTGGCTTGGCGGCTTCTCCCTCTAGTCTGAGAGCTCTGTGAGTCCAGGGTCCTTGCCTACCTAGGTCACTGCTCCTAGCCCAGTGCCCAGCACAAGAGACATTTGTTCACTGAATGAATGGAAACTCTGGCAGTCAGGATCCTGAGTCCAGAGGCCAAGTGGGAACTCAGCTGTTCAGGGCTCCAGGAGGAGTCCCTGGAGGAAGCAGGACGGGTGTGCAGCCTGAAGCTCTGGCAGAAGGTGGACGATGGCCGGGGGGTGGGGGTGGGGGTTAAAAGGGGTCCATGAGAATGGGTGTGGACAAATCCTGGACTGGGGTCCATGCCCATCGTGTGCTCTGCTTGCTGAGTGACCCTGGTCCTCACTACCTCCCTCTGGGCCTCAGTCTCCCCATGGGGCAGAGAAGAGGAACAGGTGACCTCACCGAGGGGAGCCTGGTGGACATGGGGAGGGACGAGGGAGTCTTGGACTCAGATCACACAGTCCAAGAGCTGGAAGGACCCTGAATCTCTAGTCCAGCCATTTCAGAGCACAGATGGGGAGCCTAACGCCCAGAGAGGGGACGTGGTTTGTTCAAGATCACAGGGCAGGGTCATGATTTCTCTTTAAGGTCTAGGATGTCAGCATCTCCCCTCTTGTCACCCAGGATCCCCCTGCTCAGAAGGCACCTCAGCGCCCCCTTCCTCCTTTTAGGACATGCCCTTTGAACCCTGGGCTGCAGCTGGGGCCCCCACCTCTTCCCAGTCCCTTGGCGACAGTGATGGGTCTGGGATCAGGCCACCAGCTCCTATCAGCCCCAATCAGGAGCTTTCCCTGGGACTCTGCACCTGCGTCTGGAAATTCTGAGTCTGGTTCTTGGTGGGGGGGGGGCGACATGCACCGCAGAGGAATTCAAAGCCGCATCCCAGTAAGGAGCAGAGGATCTACAGGCAGGGAGGAGCACAGCTGAGCGAGGGAGGGAGAGGGGCGGCCTCATCAAGGTTCCAGCCCCTGAGCACCAACCACAGTCCTCCCTTCCCTCTGTCCTGTGCCTGATCCTTGGAATTGAGTCTCCTAGTGGTTCAGCCAGTTCATGTTGAACGTCACCTGCACCCAAGAGAGACCAGACTGGGGCCACTGGGAGATGATGACCGCAGCCATGAGTCCTCCCGGACACAGTGACATCCCCCTCTGCGAGAAGGGCGCCCAGTCTTCCGGAAGGAACCACGGACCGATCCTGGGGCAGCCCCCCATCTGCTGGCCAATCAGATTCCTGGTCTGGGATCTGGAGCCTTAGACCCAGAGCCTTAGAGGCAGCTCATGGCAGTCCTGGGGGGATGGCTGTGAACACCTGCTCCCCACAGACTCCCAGCTGCCCTGCCCCCACCCCACCTGCCCAAGCCTCTTGTCCAGCTCCTCTGATCCAGGAGCTTGTGTGTTCTGCAAAACCAGCTGCCTCTTCCCTTTCTTTTATTTACAAACAAGAGAACTTCAACTGACACCCCTCAAACTGGACCCCGATCTCTTCCAGGCTTTGCGTCCCCAAAGCACAAAACCCCAGGCTCTCTCCTCAGCACCGCTCCCCGTGCTCCCTGACCCTAGGTCTGAATGAGCAGGCGCCCCAGTGGACAGCTCAGGAGGTCCTTCAGGAGAGCCCTGGCCCTTACACATCTATGCTGTGCGGCACCCAGCAAGCACTCAATAAGTGCTTCTTGCGTGACCAAGAAAGAGCCTACGTGCTTCTAAAGCCCTGGGAGGGTCCCGGCTCTAAAACTGAATAAAGGAGAAATTGTAACCACATCTCATCAAAACCTCTGCACGTGAGGAGAAGCAGCCCCAGTACAAGGTGGAGTGAGAAACACACCAAGTTGCATCTGGGTGTTTCATTGTGTAAGGGCTGCTCCAAAGTCCCATCTTTAATCACAGTTCTTTCTTACTGTTTCTCGTGTTCAGTTATTTCAGTAGACGTACGGAACTTTTGTAAATCTACAGAGCTCTGAGTGGAGGCAATGCATGAGCTTTGCTGACCAGACCAGGGACTAGAACCACCCTCACCTGGTGACGGCATACCCAGAAATCGGATAGAACAAGTCTTTTAATGTTGATCCTCTAGGGCTGAAGGCATCAGGCCAAATATGTCATATTGAGACAGAAAAGGAGACATTAGAGCAGAAAATGAAGCATTCAGGGCGAAGGTAGAAGATCGAATTGAAGTGAGTCTCAGATCCACTCACACCAGCTACATGAGCTTGAGTGAACCCGAACCTCTCCGCACCACAGTTTGCCCATATATGAAAAAAAATTGTTTTTTAATGTTTATTTATTTTTGAGAGAGAGTGAGACAGAGCGTAAGCAGGGGAGGGGCAGAGAGAGAGGGAGACACACAATCAGAAGCAGGCTCCAGGCTCTGAGCCGTCGGCACAGGGCCTGACGTGGGCTCGAACCACAAACCATGAGATCATGACCTGAGCCGAAGTCAGACGCTCAACCGACTGAGTCACCCAGCTGTCCTTGCCCACATATTAAAAGGATTTTGGATCAGAGACGCGTGAGCTGCCTTCTGCCCGCAGTTGTCCCCATCACGGTGCCCACCCCCCCAGGTCTGCCCAAGTTCATTCTGGGACGAACACCCCCTTACTGTTCAGCTCTCGATGCCGCGCCCGCCCACCCCCCTGGAGCAGGCCCGTGGGGAGGGGCCGGGGTCCCAGCAGCGGCCAGAGCACACAGGGAAGACGACGGAGGTGTCGTTCAGCGTGAGGCTGGTACCCAGACCCCAGTCCAAATTGTTCCACACCGGCGATGGGGCATGACCTGGAAGGAAGAGCGAGCAACAGGCCCACCTCTACCTGCTCCTGCCCCGGGGGGGGGTGGCCGCGGGGCCCCTTCCTACCTCCACGGGCCCGTTCCCTTGGCTGGAGTCGCGGCGTGCCTGCTGGGACGGCAGCACGAACCCGCTTCTGTTGTCCTCGAGGAAGGCAGACTGAACCACGGGGTAGTGATTCTGCGGACACAAACATCGCCAGGCTGGAGGTCGGGGGGCCCCCGTCTGGCCACCCCAGGGAGCCCCCCGCACGGGCACAGCGGTAGCCCCGGTGGGGCTGGGAGACGTACGGTCGAGGCTCTGACTGTGGAGACCAACAGACTGTCCTTCAAACCGGCTCCGCTGCGTCCCGACCATATGAGCTGGGGACTCAGCCCACTCAAGCCTCAGTCTCCCCACCTGGACAAAGGGTGCAAACCCGAGCGCACACTCCTGCAGGAGCGATGAGGGATGTGTGGGGTCCAGCCCGAACTGGGCGGGAGGCTGATGGGGGCTACAGAGAAAAAGGGCCACATGGGGTCCGGGAAAGCGGCCACATCCCCCCGCTGCTCTGTGATGGCCTGGAGCCAAATGTCCTGGGCGGACCCACGTGGACGGTCCGGAGCCCCTGCCTAGCGGAGAACTAGCAAGGGGAGGAGAGGGACCAGAACTCGCAAGCCGAGCATGGTGGGGACATACCCGTACGGGCCCCCACGGATGGGAAAGAGGTGACGTTGACTGAAGGCATAGGAGGCCCCCAGCACCGGCTTCGCAGGGGCTGCTCCCGCTGACCCACCCAGCTCTGGCCAGGGGGTTGTTCCCTAGGTCGGGTCAGCAGGGAGCCATAAAGGGGCTCGTGGTCACCTGCCCCAGGTCACGGGGCTGGAGGCCAAGGTGGTGGGAGCTGATGTCCGGCTTCGGGCCATGGCTCACGGCTTCCACCAGGCAGAGATCTCCGAGGATCAGCTGACGTGGGTCAGGCCCCGCTCCGCCTTGACTGGCATCATCTTGGAATCCTCAGACCCACCCCCGATGAGGCGCTCATCTTACCCGAGAGGAAACTGAGGCACGGGTGGGGACGGGGACATTCCTCTGCATGTGGGGGCGCCAGACGCCAGGTGTGACCCGGGTCGGGGCCTCCACCCCTAACTGCACAGCTGGGCAAGGGGGCTCTGCCACTGCAAGGGGCTGTTTAACGGGCTCCCCGCTCTGGCCTCTGGACGAGGGCCGTCAGGGACCCCCCCGTGGGCCCCGTGTCCCCCAGGCATCGCAGGCTGTACCCGAGTGATGTTGTTCATGTTGTTCGCGTATTTCCGGAAGTGCCTCCACTGCATCCAGCAGCCGCTGTTGTCCGAGGAGAGGACCCGGCGGTTGTGTAGACTGGTGCTGGTCCTCAGGATGGCCTCGTGGTTCAGCTGCAAGGCCCCCCCC